AAGTCTGCGTCCATACTATATAAAAAATAAAACCCTAATCCTATATCATACACAAGACCAAATAAAAAAAATTAATTTAGACAACTAAACAATTAAAATTAAACAATTACTTTAAAATAAATACACAATTAAAATTAAACAATTACTTTAAAACAAATAAACAAGTAATTTAGAATCAAGAACAAATACACAATTAATTTAAAATAAAGAAACAATTAAACAATTACGCAAATGAGCACATAAATCAGATAATGAAATAAAAATGCAATAAAATCAAATTTAAATTCCCATTGTATCCTTTTGAAAACTAGGGGTATTACAAAACCCGAGGGATATCAAATAATTAAGGTATTTTAAATCGAACACAGAACACAAAGTGAAATACGAAATAATTTAATAAGCTGAAAGAAACTAAAAAAAAATCCTTGAATCATAATTAATCAAATCCGATAATCTAAAGCTCTATAAGTTTACAACTCGAGAATCCATCCATTGGACCCCTTATTAAAATTCTCAAGCCAAAACTGAAATAATAGAAATAAAATCCAAAACTATCACAGAGAAGATTCTTACATAATCGGAGGAATGAATATTTGTATCTGCTCTGCACGTTCAAGCTCTAACCCTGGAACTGACGAACACTTGAAAAATAAAGAAGTGGGTCAGGCCCACATGCAAGTCCTGATCTACTACAATCCAACAGTAATCCGATACGCGGATACATCCTAGGAAGACTCAACAATAACTAGAGTAGTCCATATAAGTATATAGTACACACTATAGGACGCTCGCTAGTCCAGTAGGTCTGTCTCATCCTGAATAGAAGCCAACATGCAAATACGCACCCTAAGGTGGGTATGAGTACCTAGACATACCAGGGAACAACACATATATCTAGTTATCCATCCTAGGCAATATACGCGCCCTAACCATGGTCATGAGACTCAAGCTCATACCACGACACCATATAATATATATATAAAGTCCGTACTCCTCCTAATACAAAATACCATCCATCTATGTAGTGGTCTGATATATGTATAACAAATCCATCCTGAAACCATAGTAGGTCATTCAATTCTCAATTGAAATGGCACAAGTAGGTGATGGACTTAACCTTTATGATTAATCCATACCTTAATCCAAATTTAGGTAGGGCTTAGTGTCTAAACAAATCCGTACCTAGTATGACACCGTCCCATACCGATGTATACCATCCTCCGGTTTACGTAGTTAATAATACAGTATAATTATTTATTAACCACATCCCAGAATAAGCATAAATATAGTTTAGCACGTATACAACCAATTGATGCATCTAATGTAACATTTAGACATCTCATTACAATTCTTTATATAAATGAAAAGACTGTACATTTAGCTTCTCCATTTAACATAGTTGACGAAAACAGTATTTGATACTAATCAACCATACTCCAAAATTTGCATAAATACAGTTTAACATGTGTATAACTAAATTATGCATCCAATAACAATTTTAGAATCCCAGTTCCAGTCCTTTAAATTGATAAATTAAGATTATACAATTTACTTTTCTATATAGTACCATAACTGATGCATTGTATAGCAGATTTTAAACATCAGTTAATCTAACTAAGCATACACATATTTAGCTACTATATGTTTATATCACAGCTAAAAACATGTCTCGCAATTTAAGATTTTGTAGAGAAATAAAATTCCAAAAATAGTAGACAATAGAAATGAATTTTCAAATCATCCACCCACGGGTTCACTGTTTAATCTTAGATTAATTTCATTCTCAATTCCTACTTGTAATCATGCTTCCAATATTTTTATAAGTCTTAAACATTAAATTACAACATCCAGTAGCCTTTAAATAATTTTAGAAAATCCAATTTCAGCCAAAAAGTCCCTAAAACTCAGTTCTGTGCGTTTTAAGATGGAGCAGGCTCTAAAATTTGGAGCCTACTCTATTTTTCTCTTGGAGCCGGCTCTAAACCACTTAGAGTCGACTCAAAGACACTTGGAGCCGGCTCTAAGGAATTTGAGAGCCTGCTCTCTTTTCCCTTAGCAGTCGTTGTCCGTTCCAGCTTCGTCTTCTCCAATTCCGGTGATTACCAGAGCCTCTGTAATATGTTTTAATTCTTATTCTAGGTTCAATCTCAATTCTAGGTACATATTTAACCACTGATATTCAATGATAGCATGCATGGAACATAGGTTTAGAAGCAACATTCATAGAACCGTAGTTTGAAATTTTAAGCAACCCACAACAGATTAATTTGGTGAAATTCAATACTGTGTTAATTACGTATTCAAGGGTTCGTTTAATGTCTCAGACCAATCCTCAAACATAAATATATATTCACAACAAGAATTTAACACAAGGTTTAAAAACAATCCGCAACAAGATTTCAGTTAGCACTTTTAAGCAACACTAAAACAGATTAACTCAACGGAACTAAAAACTGATTTAAACATGCATATTAGATGAATCATCACATTCGTTTCATCTATTTTAATCTTTGATTAATCCCTGGAGTCTTAACTAGGCATGTACAGAACACGAATTAACGGGAGAGAGAAGAACATTGACTTGCCTTTGAGTTTCAGAGTTGAAACACTAAATCCACATCTCTGAGTTTTCCCTTGCTCTGCCTTCCTATGCCCCCTCTCTCACTCTCTGTTTCTTAGCAGTCCCTTGTGATACAGACATAACTTATGGTTTGTTTTGCTAAAACCCTAACCCAGTAAGCTTATGTATGTATAGGCTTCAATTTACCAAACCCTACTCCAACTCTAATTATAAGTCGGCCAACGTTAAATCCTAAAACCCTAAATTCAGATAAATAAAATAACTACACCGTGAATTAACTAAATAACCTAATTAACCAATTAAGGTAACTAAAACAAATTTAAATAAGTAATCACATTAAATAGAAACAATTCAAACCCATCAATTAAATTCAAGTAACAAAACAATTAAACCAATTAAATAAATTAAATGAATTAAAACAAACCAATTAAATAAATAAATTAAAACAAGAAGATAATTAAATGCACTAAAACAATTTAAAACAATTAAATCACACCAAAGAAATAAACAAATGCAATTTAAGCAACAAAATAAACACTAGGACTATCCTTTTGAAATTAGTGGTATTACAAACCCTGTAAAAATTCATGGGTTAAAAAGTCAGGTAAAGAATTAAAAGTTCTTTTAATATACTCAATTATAAAATTAAAAGCAGATAAATCAGCTTGCCAACTTACAAATATTTGTTTAGTAGCTATATTTTTAACATTTTTTCCAAAACTTGTTTAACAGCACTGCAATCAATGCGTAACAAGAATTGTTGATTTAATAAATCATCCTAAAATTTATAAATGCATATAAGTAAATAAAGAATTTCTTTCTTAATAGTAAAATAATTTATCTGAGCATTATTCCAAGTTCCAAAAGTAAAACTAAATAATTCTTCTGTTCCCGTGTCTGGTTTCCTTTGTTTAAGAATTCCACCATATCTAATATTGAATGAATCTGTTTCAACAATTTTAAACCATGATGAATTCACTAAAGACAAGTAAGGAGTTTGTTTAGCTTTAAACTTGATCTTTTGTACCTTTTTAGTATGATCCAAATTCCAAGGAGGGGGAAATTTTCTCAATCTCTTATATAAAATTGTTATATCCTTTGCAAGATTTTGGTAATGATTTCTAATATAATTTAAACTACCAAGAAGTCTTTGAAGTTGAGTTTTATCTTTTATTTCATCAGAAAACTTAAAAGCAAAACTCAATACTGCGATTGATACGAATTATTTTTCCCTCTTATATATCATAACCCAAAAGTTGGACTTGAGTAATGAACATTTGAGCTTAGGGATAGAAATTGTTAAACCACTTTTGCAAATCACATTTTAAAAATTTTCAAATGTTGTTCAATTGATTTTGAAAATATTAATGTATTATCAATATATATAATAAAAAATTCCGTATAAGGATTAAACATGTCATTCAGAATATGTTGGAACTTTAAGGGAGCATTTTTTAAACCAAATGGAATAGCTGCCCATTCATAATGACCAAAAGGTACACAAAAAACATTTATATATATATGTCTTCTCCCTTAATCTGGACTTGATAATAACCAAATTTGAGATCAAATTTAAAAAAGATTACAACAAATTGTAATCTATCCAAAAAATCTTTTATTGGGGATTGGTTATCGAATCCAACTTAAAGCAAGATTTAATACCTCGTGTTATATATATAGTGTGGGGTCCTCAATTATATGATGTCATCCATGAAGTCATATTCTATGACTTACAAAGGAAGATAGTACTTTGGGCGTACAGAAGAAGCCAATGTTAAAGCTTATAAAAGGCATTATCCATGTACTGATCTATGACACTTGAATGAAAACATTTTCTTAATCTTTTTTCGTACAGTCTCTCTCTCTTTCTCTTTCTCAAAAGCAGCTTTATATATTATTTCCTCTCTCTTTAGATATATATATATATACATATATTTATTATACGTTATCAGCACGAGCTATCCATCTGAGATTTGAAGAAGAAAACTTTCTCTCCCTCTTTCTATCCCAACTGTATATCTATTTTGTGATATTAGTTTTGATAGATTGTTGGGTTGGTTTGCTTTATCGGAGAAAATAATATTTCTGACTCCAAAGGGTAAAGAAATTTTAATTATGGATTATTGTTAGTAAAATAAAGTTGTTCACTTAAATGATATATATGCTTACACTATGGTCGATTTTACCACCTTTATTATTTAATAATTTACTAATTATGATTGGTCTTACCACCTTTATTATTTAATATTTTATGGCTGGTTTTACTGCCTTTATTGTTTAATAATTTATTTATAATGACCGGATTGACCATTATTGTTGTTTAAATAATTTATATTATGTTATTATTTTATTTCAATTCCATTTTATTTATATGCTAAATTATATTTTTATATTGTTGTCACATCTAGTTATTCAGAAAATGTCAAATTTGACAAAGCTGAAATTCGTGGCCCTGGATATTTTTGGGAAAAATTATTTATCTTGGATTCTGGATGCTCAGATCCATTTGGATGCCATGGGCCCTGGTGACACAATTAAAGAAAACAATGAGGCATCATTGCAAGATAAAGCAAATGCCATAATTTTTCTCCGGCGCCATATTAGTGAGGAACTGAAAACTGAATACCTCACTGAAAGAGATCCACTTTGTTTGTGGAATAATTTGAAAGAAGGATATGATCATCAAAAAACAGTCATCCTCCCAAAGGCCAGGGCTGATTGGCTGCAACTGATGTTGCAAGATTTTAAAATTGTTGCTGAATATAAGTCTATTCTATTCAAAATCAGCTCTACATTGAAATTATGTGGTGATACTGTTACTGATGAACTGTTGCTAGAAAAAATATTCACCACATTTCATGCCTCGAATGTACTCTTGCAACAACAATATCGAGAGCATAGATTTAAAAAATATTTAGAGCTGATATCATGTTTGCTGGTGGCAGAGCAAAATAATGAGCTTTTATTAAGAAACCACCAGTCTCGTCTAACTGGATTGACACTGATCCCTGAAACATATGTTGCCTCATCCCATGGTCGTGGATGCGGACGTGGACGTGGTTGTGGTGGTAAAAATGGCCACAATAATGAATATGGTCGTGGTAAAAATAACTACCGCAATAATGACTATGGCCGTGGTAGAAATCATTCTTATTACTGTGAAGGATATTAATCCTCAAATTCTCGCAATCAGAGATCCACACCATATCCTCAAAGGAGAGATCATAATGAAATGAGACAAGTAAAAGGAAAGGATGTGGCCCAACCTCCCAAAGTACATGATAATACTTGTTATTGGTGTGGCATGACAGGGCATTGGCAAAGTATATGTCGTACATCGAAGCATCTGGCTGATCTTTACCAAGCCTCAATGAAAGAAAAGGGAAAACAAAAGGAAATGAATTTCCTTGATCATGATGAGCCAGTTGACACCACAAATATGGAAATGAATTTCATTAATCATGATGAGCCAGTTAACATCACCAATCTGGATGTATCAGATTTTTTTGATGATCATGATGAAAGGATAGACTTCCTGATTGATGATGGAAATGTCAACACCAGTTAATCTTATGTTTTTTTTTTTTTTTCATGTTCTGTCTACTATGTTTCTATTTTCCTTGTATTATAGTTTTTATTTTCTAGTTTGTATCAAAGTTTCATTTGTTATAAAAGTTTCTTTTCTGATAAAGAAATTTGCATGAATAGGAGTGGATCTGACTAGTCCCAAAATAAATGGTGAAGATATATGTCTTGCAGATAGTGGAACAACACATACATGAATTTCCTTGATCATGATGAGCCAGTTGACACCACAAATCTGGAAATGAATTTCATTAATCATGATGAGCCAGTTAACATCACCAATCTGAATGTATTAGATTTTTTTGATGATCATGATGAAAGGATAGACTTCCTGATTGATGATGGAAATGTCCACACCAGTTAATCTTATGTTTTTTTTTTTTTTTCATGTTCTGTCTACTATGTTTCTATTTTCCTTGTATTATAGTTTTTATTTTCTAGTTTGTATCAAAGTTTCCTTTGTTATAAAAGTTTCTTTTCTGATAAAGAAATTTGCATGAATAGGAATGGATCTGACTAGTCCCAAAATAAATGGTGAAGATATATGTCTTGCAGATAGTGGAACAACACATACAATCCTTCGAGAACAAAAATATTTTTCTCACCTAACTCTGACAGATGCCAGTGTCAGTACCATATCAGGTCCCACCGACTTGATTGAAGGCTTCAGACGAGTCAACATTATTTTACCACATGGAACAAGATTACAAATCGATGATGCCTTATATTCTATAAGATCTTGGAGAAATCTGTTGAGTTTTAAAGATTTGCGTCGTAATGGGTATCATATTGAGACTGCAAATGAAAAAAATGTGGAATATCTCTACATTACTTCCATTACCTCAGGCAAGAAACTGATATTAGAAAAACTCCTTGTTTTCTCTTCTGGGTTATACTATACAACCATTAGAATAATTGAGTCAAATGTTGTGATCCATAAAAAAATCTTGTGACCAAAAACTTTTTATGCTTTGGCATGATCGACTTGGTCACCCAGGGAGTATAATGATGCGTCGAATTATTGAAAATTCACATGGACACCCACTAAAGGATCAAAAAATCATTTTATCAAATAATCATCTATGCACCGCCTGCTTACAAGGTAAGTTGATTATCAGACCATTCCCTTCAAAAGTCATTGTTGAGTCTCCTCCATTTTTACAACGAATTCATATGGGCCAATTCATCCATCATGTGGACCATTTCGTTATTTTATGGTTTTTATTGACGCCTCAACACGATGGTCACATGTTTGTCTGCTTTCTACGCGTAATGTTGCATTTGCTAGACTTCTTGCTCAAATCATCAAATTACGAGCACATTTTCCTGATTACCCAATTAAGAGAATCTGTCTTGATAATGCTGCTGAATTTTCTTTTCAAGCTTTTAATGATTATTGCATGTCCGTTGGAATTAATGTTGAAAATCCTGTTGCACACACTCATACTCAAAATGGTATGACTGAATCTTTTATTAAAAGACTTCAACTAATTGGTCGTCCTTTGCTTATGCGAACAAAATTACCTGTTTCTGCCTAGGGTCATGCCATATTGCATGCTGCATTATTAGTTCGTATACGACCAACTACTTATCATAAGTACTAACCATTGCAACTTGTTTTTGGTCAACAACCAAATATTTCTCACATACGAGTTTTTGGTTGTACTGTGTATGTTCCAATTGCACCACCCCAACGTACTAAAATGGGTCCTCAACGTAGACTTGGAATTTATGTTGGTTTTGATTCACCATCTATTATTAGATATCTTGAACCCCTAACAGGTGATGTCTTTAAAGCACGATTTGCTGACTGTCATTTTAATGAGACTGTTTTCCCACCATTAGGGGGAGAAAAGACACAGCAGCAACGTGATCTTACTTGAAATGCCCTGGAATTGTCTCATTTTGATCCTCGCACAAATCAATGTGAACGAAAAGATAAGAGGATCATTCACTTGTAAAATGTTGCAAATCAATTACCTGATGCATTTACTGATACAAAGAAAGTGATAAAATTACATATACCAGTTGCAAATATTCCAGCTCGAATTACTGTCCCTGAGGGACCTTCTGTCAGTAATGCAGCAAATGCATCTAAAACTCACCTGAAGCGTAGTAGACCAGTTGGTGCAAAAGATATTGTTCCTCGTAAGAGGAAATTACAAAAAAAAACTGGCACTCCTGAAGAGGCCACAAAAGGAGCAACAGATATTATTGATCAATCTAAGATAATGGCCTTTGATAAGACAGAGGCTCTTGATGAGTCTCAGGTACCTAAAAATAATGAAATAATAAATATTGATGAGGCAAAAGCAACAAATGATGATATGGCCCTTGATGTGGCACATGCCCTTGATGAGGCAAATGTACCTGAAAATGATGAGATCTCATTAAATTATGAAACGAGATGTAATAGAAATGAAATTGTTGTCGACAACATATTTTTATATCTCGTTGCCCTTGATATTGAAAATGAGAATCCGGAACCTCAAAACGTCGAAAAATGTCAACGAAAAAATGATTGGCCAAAATGGAAAGAAGCAATACAAGGAGAGCTAAATTCATTAGCTAAACGTGAAGTATTTGGACCAGTAGTCCAGACACCTGAGGGTGTTAATCCTGTTGGGTACAAATGGGTGTTTGTACGAAAGCGTAATGTGAAAAATGAAATCGTGAGATATAAAGCCCAATTTGTAGCTCAAGGTTTCTCACAAAGACCTGGTATTGATTATGAGGAAACATACTCCCCTGTGATTGATGCAACTACTTTTAGATTCATAATACATTTAGCAGTCACAGAAAGATTGCATATGCATCTAATGGACGTGGTTACAACATATTTATATGGATCACTAGATAGTGATATTTATATGAAAATCCCAGAAGGATTTAAAATGCCTGAAACAAAACCACTTAATATGCACTCAATAAAATTACAACAATCCTTATATGGATTGAAGCAATCTGGACGAATGTGGTATAATAGCTTTAGCGATTACTTACTCAAAGAAGGGTATGTGAATAGTCATATTTGTCCATGCATTTTTATTAACAAATCAGAATTTGGTTTTATTATTGTTGCAGTATATGTTGATGATCTGAACCTTGTGGGAACATTGGACGAGATCGAAAAAACGACCACTTATTTAAAGAAAGAATTTGAAATGAAAGATCTCGAAAAGACAAAATTCTGCCTTGGGCTGCAGGTTGAACATTTTTCGAACGGTATTCTCATCCATCAATCAACATATACAGAAAAGATTCTGAAACGTTTTTCATATGGATAAAGCCTATCCATTAAGCTCCCCAATGGTTGTCCGATCACTTAACATCAAGAAAGATCATTTTCGTCCTCGAGAAGATGATGAAGAACTCCTTGGTCCTGAAGTGCCTTATCTCAGTGCGATTGGTGCTCTTTTGTATCTTGCAAATTACACAAGACCTGATATAATTTTTCCAGTCAATTTATTAGCACGGTACAGTTCTGCACAAACTCGCAGACATTAGAATGGAATCAAACACATACTGCGATATCTTCGTGGCACAACTGATATGGGCTTATTTTATTCGAAGGCACCAAAGTCTCCATTAGTTGGATATGCAGATGTCGGCTATCTTTCTAACCCACATAAATCTTATTCACAAACAGGATATGTGTTTACCTGTGGCGGCACTGCTATATCATGGCGATCAATGAAACAGACAATGTTTGCAACTTCTTCAAATCATTCTGAGATACTCGCAATTCATGAGGCAAGCAGGGAATGCTTTTAGTTGAGATCAATGATCCAACATATTCGAACAACATGTGATCTCTCATCAATAAAAGAAAGCCCAACAGTATTATATGAAGATAATGCGGCCTGCATTGCACAGATGAAAGAAGGGTATATTAAAAGTGACAGGACCAAGCACATCTCACCAAAATTTTTTTATGCACATGAACTCTAGAAAAATGGTGATATTGATATTCAGAAGATACGTTCATCTGAAAATCTAACAGATCTATTAACTAAAATGCTTCCAACTACAGCATTCAAGAAACTGGTGCACAACATTGGAATGCGTCAACTAAAGGATCTTCAGGGTTGATCTAATGAGGGGGAACAAGTGATCAAAGAAGTATTGACATGCTGTACTCTTTTACCTTCGTCCAGGTTTTGTCCCATTGGGTTTTCCTGGCAAGGTTTTAATAAGGTAGTTTTACTCTATGCAATACCATTTTCAGATACATAAGAATACTATACTCTTTTTCCTTCGCTAGGGTTTTGTCCCACTAGGTTTTCCTTAGCAAGGTTTTAACGAGGCATATTCTTAGTGTAGTTTTGTGAACCCCAAGGGGGAGTGTTATATATATAGTGTGGGGTCCTCAATTATATGATGTCATCCATGAAGTCATAGTCTATGGCTTACAAAGGAAGATAGTACTTTGGGCGTACAGAAGAAGCCAATGTTAAAGCCTATAAAAGGCATTGTCCATGTATTGATCTAAGACACTTGAATGAAAACATTTTCTTAATCTTTTTCGTACAGTCTCTCTTTCTCTCTCTCAAAGGCAGCTTTATATATTATTTCCTCTCTCTCTCTATATATATACATATATTTCTTACACCTCGTTCCTTTTTAGCATTTTTATTAACATAAAAAGTTGTGCAACTAATCGGGAGTAGTTTTTGACAATTGGTTTCTTATCTATCAAAGAGCTAATTTCCTTTTTGCAAAGCTCTAAATAGTCTGCCTTTATTTGACTAGGATGAGCTTTGGTTAGAATCATCTTATCAGTGAACCCTTTCTTATAGGGGAAAAAAATTCCCAGAAAAGCATTAGGAACATCACTACAAATGTCCTTTAAAAACTGGTGTTTTATTAACTCTATTTTTTTTTTTCTTTGTTGTTGTTTAGTAAACTGTAACAACCTCTGATTGATTGTCAAAAAAGATATTTCTTTTTACAAATAATTGAGTAGTTTTTCTTTAAAGATGA